TCTCAAATTGTTTCAGAAGATGCCCTTCTCAGCTGCTTTGCTCAAAATAGAAGTCAGCCAAGGACTACCATTGTATTTGGTTATATCTTTAAATTAGCATAGACACCATATCCCTCACCCCCATTTTTGACATTGTCTTGTTAAGAGGCTAGGTCAATTCTTCTTTAGAACTCCCCACCTTTTGTGTTTGATTGTTTTCTCGTGATGTATTTCCCTGTATTGCTACTGTGTATAATCTATATATTCCCTGTATTTCCTGTAGACTACAAGTTATACCTGAAATCTTAGATTGGATTAGATTAAACATTTTGAACAGGAAAATACCTCTGATTGCATCATTTCAGGAAGTGCATGGCTGTCTCACTATTAATGATGCTAAAATTGATCATTGGTTTAAGGTAGAGACAGCCAGATCTCTGTAGGTAAAGTTGTTTTCCTAATGTGACCAGCATGTAATTTGTGGGATGATACTTTGGCACCGTGATAATATCTAGTTCTCCATCAACTTTTTACCTAATGGCTTTACTGTTCATTGATGACCCTCAACTAAATTATTTCATTAGAGATTGCATAATGGTAATTTTTTAAATTCTATCATTCTTTTTACATTTACTAGCTGATACTGTTTTGTAGGGAAGGGCTTTCTCTCATCATCTGGCTTAGTTACCCTGAAATACAATTCCAGTGGGAAAGGTAGCATCCATTCTTTTTTTTTTTCTTTAACTACCCATTTGTAGAGTAAGGAGTTGTTGTAGTGTAATAGTTACCTCTAACAGTGACAAATAAGTTTTTAAGAAATATTTTCTATGATTTTTCTTTTTTGAGTATCTGTGGAAGTATGGATTTTTGTATATTCGGTGTGTATAAATTAATTATGATAATTATTCTTTTTGATATTTAAATTGTCTCAGATTAAGCAGTGAAAGCTCATTTAAGCTCTCTGGCATCCTTTAGAAACATCCCGTTAATCATTAAAAGCTCCCTTGCTTTCTGACACTCCAAGATGTACCAGGTTCCTCTTTTGATCCCTGCCGCAGACATGGAAGCAGCCATTCCTTAAAAGAGACTTAGTAGCTTTTGGTAAAGACTGATTTAAAAGACCACAATCTGAGTTTTAGGGTGAGAATAGCTATTGAGATGATGTTACTTCTAGACCCTTTCAGTGCACAGAGCTAGGATATTGGGATACACACACACACACACACACAGATATTTCCAGTGAAAATTTAACTGATTTTTACTGAACTCTTGACTTTATACTTGCAGCTCTTTATTCTTACCCTGAAAATTTTGGTTCCTAATGACATTAACATAATCACTTGTATATTTAATCTTACAATATACATACAATAATTTACAAATAATAATAATACAAATATTACTCTACTAACAAAACAATGAATAAAGTTTAGGATTTGGGGCAGTTTATTTTGTTCTTAGAATATAACCGCTAGAGGGCTGGTCTGTTAGCTCAATTGGTAGAGTGGGGTGCTAATAATACCAAGGTCAAGGGTTCAAATCCCCAAGCCAGGCAGCCGCCAAAAAAAAAAAGGGATTTAATTCTAGAAATATATGCCTTCAAAATACTGTGTTCTAAAGTCGTTTAAAATAGTTCTTTTGTTTGTGTAGTTATGTTTACCAATTTGATATGTAATTAGGGTTTTTTGCTTCACTTTGCTTTCAATGTTAGTGTTTGCTTTTTTATTCTTTGCATAATTTTATTTTTTGAACAATGTAAAGTATTTACATATTGGCATTGTCCAAAATCAAAACTATGTGACTATGTGATAAGATCTTCTCAGATAAGTCTTCTCTGCATCTCCCACAATTCCCCCTGTCATCTTTACCACTTCACCCCATTTATTTCCTTTTATAAAACTTTGTAAATTGTGAAATATAAATGTGCAAAGCAAAAATGAACAGCTCAAATAAATGGTCACAAACTGAACACTCATGTAACCCAGGTCAAGAAATAGAACATTTTCACACCCCAGAAGTCTTATTGTGTCCCCCAGTCATTACCTCTTCCCAAAGGTAACCATTATCCATTCTATTGTTGACCATGTTTCTTTGCTTTTCTTTACAGTTTTATAACCTGAGCATGTACCTCTAACTACGGATGAATTTTGATAACTGCTCTTGCGTTATCATGAATGCTGTGAATATGTATACCTTCTACATGTTTCCTATTGCACATGTGTGTTGGGGAAGCAGATAGCTTCAAACAACCTTACAGGGAGGGACTCGGTGAAACAAATACCCTATTTTCACCTTTATTTTTTCCCTCTGGTCTCCTTTTGGCTATTCCCATTGTCCTAACCTAACCAGAATCTAGAGGAAGAGGGAGCTCATTAAAGTAATTTATATAGGTCAGCTTCCTGGGACAGAAAATAGGATGAAGACAGGTGAAGAGTGAAGCCTAGGGACAAACTTAAGGTATTTACTCAGAGCCGGCCTGTGGCTCACTCGGGAGAGTGTGGTGCTGATAACAACAAGGCCACAGGTTCGGATCCCTATATAGAGAGGGCCGGTTGGCTTACTTGGGAGAGCGTGGTGCTGACAACACCAAGTCAAGGGTGAAGATCCCCTTACCAGTCATCTTTAAAAAAAAAAAAGGTATCTGCTCATTTGTTCCTTCCCCCTCTTTTTTTTTTGGACAAATAATCTCTCAATATAATTGTCACTGTTTTTTTTTTTTTTTTTTTTTTTTAAAGATGACCAGTAAGGGGATCTTAACCCTTGACTTGGTGTTGTCTGCACCACACTCACTCAGTGAGCTAACCGGCCATCCCTATATAGGGATCCAAACCTGTGGCCTTGGTGTTATCAGCACCGCACTCTCCCAAGTTAGCCATGGGCCGGCCCTTAATTGTTACTGTTTTGGAGGTAATCTATCTTTGCTTGTCAATAGTTTTACTGGACTGTGACTAGGTAGAGATTTATTTATTTTTATTCTCTTGGGACTCAAAAAGCCCTTGAATATGTGGCTTGATGTATTTCATCAGTTTTGAAACACCTTATCTTTTTAAATATTGATTGTGCTCCATTTTCTTGCTCCTTTCCTTCTGAGGATCTGGATAAAATATATTAGACTTTTTTGTGGTATCCTCTATGGTTCTACCTTATCTTCTGTATTTTCCTTTTTGTTTTTTTGTCTCTTTATACTTCATTCTGGATATTTTCTTTTGAAATATATTACAATTTACTAATTTTCTTTTCAGCTGTGTATAATCTTCTATTAAACCCAAATATCAGTCTTGAACTTGGCCAGGAACAGATGACACATTCAATCAGAGTAAACGAGAAGAGTTTAATGAAGGAACTATTTATAAAGGTATGGACGGGTAAAGGAATATGAACATTTGTCAATTCACATGTGGTCATAGAAGGAGCCAAGGGGATATGTAGCTTGAGCTTTCTCTCTTTTTGGCCTCTGATCTCCTGCCGATACTTACTATTGGCCAATGCAACCAGAAGCCAGTGAGCAAGAGCCTGTGGTTGATGCAGTCCATAGACATCAGCATGCGGGCATACAGCAGGGTGAAGAAAGATGGAGCATGAATATGGATGAGAAAATGGGGAATATCTAGCTTGATCCTAGCTTCCACTCTTATCCTTTGTTTGGATGAAAACCTTGTGCCCTCACCATATCCCTTAATTCAGACATACTCTCATATGAATCCTAAAATGTTGTTTAACACCAGTGCTCTCAGTATAACGTAGCAGGGAAGAGAAGTGGGAGAAAAAAAGGAAATTTTCATATCAAGTTGCTTCAGACATAGCTGCTACAATCCCTGTTTCTCTAGCTTGTTCTGAAACCTAAACTGATAATTACATCTCCCTTACTCCTTTACCCATTTTATAGTTTTCTTACCTTGGTCAACACTTTGACTGGATAGAATTTTTGAACTGGTGGGTTGAGGCAGATCTTTTTTTCTGCAAGATCTGAGTCTTTTATGTTCCTGGCTTTATTTGGTTTCTACAGTTTTCTGTTGACCCAGGACTACTGGGAAAGAGAATGTAAAGAGCCTAAGTTAATCTCTTTGGTTCCAGTAATAATCTTCTTTGCCATCATTTTATAGCACAACTCAACTTCCCAACCTTGTAACTCAATCACTGTGGCTAATATAGTGACACCTATATCTGTATATTGGCTCAGTGGCACGAGAAACCCAAAGTGACCAGGTGGTAGTCTCAGATTCCAATTAAACATTACTATGACTGTGGTGAAAGCATTTTCCCCTTAGGCAGTAGGACCTGAAAACTCATCAGGGAAGAGATGGGAAATAAACATTCTTTCAGAGAGTTTGAGATATGATAGTACGACAGGCCACTCTGACCTTTACTCCTTGGTTCTAGAACCTATGGGGATGGATAAATAATTCTGTAAATTCATAATGGTGAGTGAATGTTGCCAGAGGCATTATAGACAGAAAAGGCAAATCAATATCCAAAATATAAACTACTGCCTCTTTTCATGGTGAAAGGAATTCAGACGAAAAATCTGTCACCAGGTTGCTGCTGAGGCATACTGAGGACTCAACATTATCCTCTGCTGTTGGCAAATTGATATTCAGGGGTGGCCATAACCAGATCATTCTTGGGGAGGGAAGTCCATATTGTTAAGCCTATGTATAGCTCCAATCTCTCCCACCATATCCATTGGCTCATTAGTAAAGCACCAGGGTGACTGGGGAAATAGAATGACCAATAGATATCATCAAAGAGGGTAGACCGATGTTTAGAACAGGTCATTTCGCTTGATTATTGACAGCCTTATCCACAGTCTCTGCCTTCTGATGGTCATTTACTCAGGAAATCATGACTATCTTCACACTCTGTCCATTGCGAGGGTAGACCGATGTTTAGAACAGGTCATTTCGCTTGATTATTGACAGCCTTATCCACAGTATCTGCCTTCTGATGGTCATTTACTCAGGAAATCATGACTATCTTCACACTCTGTGTCCATTCTAAGTGATGCATCCCAGACCTCCTTGTCACAGATGTTCATATCTTGATCTATTCAAGTCCTTGATCAGCCAACCAACCTGTTAGCCATAAACACTGTATCAGTATAGGTCTGTACCTCAGATCTTCTCTTCTTCAATTCTGAACAGACATCAGATCTACCAACATAATTTCCCACAGAGGAGATTTCTCTTCACCAATGTAATTCGTGGACACTTCTGAGTTGAGCTGTAATGCAGCAGCCTTCCACTTCTGGCTGATGCCTGCATTTTGTGTAGACATCTACAAATTAGGCTCATGCTTTTTCTTCCTCTGTTAGCTAATCATAGATAATTCACCATGAATCCATAAATAAGGTTGTGGGAGAAGCAGTGAAGCAGTAGGAATCTGAGCTACCTACTCATGCAACATACTTGTTTCTTCCAGATCTTCTTGGGCCCAGTCTCATATACACCTTTTATATTTAACAATAGAATGCTGTGATAAACCTCCAGTTTTATGACTTGTGGGTCAGATAATGCCCAGTACATAATTACTTGTTGTCCCGTAGCCAGGTGTACAGTCTATACCAGAGCTTGGTAGAAAACTAGGAGATGCTTTTCAAATGGAGAATAACTGATAGCATCAAAGGGCATGACCTTACTCCCAAATCCTAGGGATCTACACTACGATAATCTTACTGAGGCTTGCCAGAGGATTCATATGACATTTCAGTCTTCCACAGACACTTCCAATGCCACTGGGATGACTGAGTCATAATAATCAAGTGAAAGGACTGCTTGCATTGCAACATGAACAGCTGCAGAACATTTTCTTGCTTCATGTCACACTTGAAGCTTGGCAGATTACTGGTAAATAGGTCAGAGTAGCACATTTGATGTGTTGTATGTTGCCTCAAATACCAACAAGGCCTACTCTTTCCCAAAGAGTATTGTCTCTTTTTTATTGTGGTAAGTGTACAAGGTAAAGAAACTTATCTCACTTAGAGAGGGGCATCTCAACATGCCACAGACAACTGGACCCCTAGATATTTCGTTAATGTTGCAGGACTCTGAACTTTCTTGAGATTCTTCTTCCACACATGTATGTATTTTATGGCATTTAAGGTACTTGGTACCTGCTTACCATATCCAATTAGCACAATATCATCACAGTGATGAACCAGTGTGATTTTCTGTGGTATACTGTCTTAGTCGGTTTGGGTTACTATAAAAAATTATCATAGACTGTGTGGCTTATGAACAACAGAAATTTATTTCTAACAGTTTTGGAGGCTGGAAGCCTGAGATGAGGGTGCCAGCAGGGTCAGGTTCTGGTGAGGGCCCTCTGCCAGGTTTCAGGCTGCCGACATCTCACTGTATTCTTACATGGAAGAAGGTGGGCAAGAGAGCTCTCTGGGGTCCCTTTGATTATGGTACTAATCCCATTCATGAGGGCTCCACCTTCATGACCTAATTACCTCCCAAAGGCTCCACTGCCTAATACATTGAGGTCGGGTTTCAACATATGAATTTGTTGGGGTGGGGAGACACAAACATTGAGCCTATTGCGAATATCAAAGTAAAAAAGGTCTTTCCAGACCATATTTTTATAGAGAACAGGAGAGTTGACATAGCCCTGAAGTAAGACAGTTTTAGAGTATACTGTTCTCTCTGCCATGTGAATGCAAACTGCTTCTGTCTCCCTCCTATATATATCTCCTTGTGATTATGCTTCTCTGATTGAACCTTGAAGTAATAAGAATTTGGTACCAACAGTGTTTCCAAGGAACGGAATGTTAAGGATGATTCTCTCAACTGATTGGATTTGTAGACGTGAATGACCATTAGTGATACAGGGGTAATCCATGACATACAATGGAAAAACAATTCCTCAAATTATGCCTTGTAGATACCTGTAATCAAGTGCCTATAGAAGATAAGGCTCTGGAGGACCAAGTGTTTGTTGTCATAGAGAATTTTAGGAAAATAAAGAGTGTACTGGGATTGGTTGGTTGTTTCTGTGTGCACTGAAGAACCTGGGAGGAAGAAAATTACTACAGTAGCTCGGGGCTTAAAATTTTGGTTCAAGGTTGATGTAAGAAACCTGAAAGTTTCTATCTAAATCTGCCCTGAAATGAACCAGCTCTCTGTGACCTTAGCCCTTTGACAGATTAAAGAAAAGTTATGATTTTGTAGTTAAGCCAGCTCTTTCCTTGTTGTTAGAATTGGAACAATGTTCTTCTGAGCATACTAGGCAGTAATGGAACCCCTCCTTCATTTTGAAGGATAATTTTGCTAGTTATAGAATTCTATGTTGACAGTTATTTTCTTTCAAGACATTTAAAATACATTCCTCTATCTTTTGTCTTTTATTGTTGCTGTTGTGGAGTTTTCAGACACAATATTGCTCCTTTGAAAGTAATCTTCTCTCTCACTATATTCATGGTTGCTTTCAAGATATTATTTCTTTGTCTTTGGTTTCCTGCAGATTGACTATGTTGTTTTTAGGGATGGTGTTTTTGTTGTTGTTGTTTGCTTGTTTTGTTTTTTAATATTCTGTTTGGGATTTGCTGGTAATCTTGAATCTTTGGATTGATATCTTTCCATAGTTTTGGGAAAATTTCAAGCTACTGTCTTTTAAAAAATTATCTATGCCCTATTCTCTCTCTTCTC